GCTGTAGGGGACTCAGGTCAATAACTTCCGACATTGCCAGTCAAGCGGAAGACCCAGTACTATTATGAGATACTGGACTATTTTGGAATATTTTGCTGAGTTCACAAACCTAGAATATTTAAATGACAGAACTAAACAAAAAAAGAGGATACAGATGAATGTCCATTTTGTATCTGTGTATTCAAAGTGGTTAGGATAGATATATAGTTTCATTCTTTTAATGAATAGAGTGATTTGTTCTAATGGTGTTTGTAGATAGGATATCATGTCCGCATCTTGTACAGCAAGTAACAACTGGGAAGAATGTATGCAATGTGTTAATTATTGAAACTGTCCTACCAATTTGATTTGAGTGCTATATGTCTCAATGCTATATGTCTCTCAATAAAATTATGGAAAAAATAAATTTAAAAATTGTTTTAAAAAGAAAAAAAAAGCAACAGAGCTACAATTTGCTGAGCACTTACTGTTTTCTGCTGCTCAATGCGTTCCCACATAGTATCTATGTCCATAACTGTATTACAGGATGTGGTTTTTTTCATTTTGTAGGAGAAACAGCAAGTGCTCAGAAAGGAGCATTAGCCTGCTAAAGTTCACGCAGATGGAAAACAGAAGAGTCAGTTTGCAAACCCAGGTCAGTGAGTCCACAGAGAGTGGTCTTTTGGGAGTGTCAACGATGGTGAGTCAGGCAGCAGGAATGGTCACCTTTCAGAAGTGTAAAGGCTTTCACCTGTTTCTGGCCCTGGAAATGTAGGCTCTCTAGGTCACCGGTGACCTTTGCAGTGCCAAATCTGTGAGGCCATGTGCCTGTTGCTGTTAAGCGCATGGCTGCAGTTGGAGCGTCTGCCACCAGCTTGCCCTTGAAGGTCCTCCCTTGCATCCTCAACACTGTGCTCACCTACTTGCCCACCCCACATCTACTTCTCCAGTGTCCTTTCAAAGAGCATTCTCTGCTCAACTGCTAAACGCTGAGGGCTCCCTACCTAATCTTGGAGAAGTTTACTTTTTGCCATTTCTCCTTAGATAATCACTTTGAATACAGATAGGCAGGTGATATCCAGGCTTCATTTATGCCTAATCTATTAAGAAGTCCAGTCGGTTCCACCACTAGAATAGACTTTGAATCATCTCACAACACTTTGTCTCTGCTGCCTGGCTGAAGTGACCACCATTCTCATTTGTACTGAAGTATAAGCCTGGTGATGACCTTTCATGTTTCATACTTATTCCCCCCAAGTCTATCCCCCAGAAAATGACCTTTAAAAAATATAAATCAAGCCAGGTTGACTGGCACAATGCCCTTAATCCCAGCACTGTGGAGGCTGAGGCAGGAGAATTGTCACAAATTCAAGGTCAGACTAGCCTCCACAGTGAGTTTAAGACTAATTTAAACCATGTAATAAGACCCTGTCTCAAAAAACTAGAAAAACAATACAAAAAAAGTAAATCAGACCACTTCTATGCTTAGAGTGCTATAGTGGCTTCCTACTGCAAGTAGAAGGAAACTTGTACTGCTTAAGGTCACATCCATGGACTGGCAGAATACACAACTCTGTGACTTTACTTCACACCTTTCACTCTGCAGATTGAAACTTCACCCAGCCTGACCTCATCTGTGTTCCTCATGGATGCTGGGTCCCCTGAGAAAGAGGGGGCTGTGAGATTTATGGTTCCCTCTGCGTGGAGTTTTAGACTGGCAGACTTTTCTTGCCGGCTTCTTTTTCCTTGTATGCCTCAGAGATAGCACTCCTTCTTTAGAGGCCCTTTCTTGTCCACAGTTCTCCCCAGCTTTCACTTTTTGAGTGACACACAGCACTCATCACTATCTGAAATTCTTAAACTTATATAGTGTAAAAACTAGGTCTAGATCTTTCATCATAATGAGAACAGGTTCTCTGATGGCAGCGACATTGTCTTATTTATCACCTCATCTTACCTCTAATGTCTTCTGCAGTTTCCAAAACGAAGTATGTTTCAGTAAATATTTATTGAATGAGGAAATAAATGTTTCAGTAAGTGATAAATATCACTGAGATATAACTGCCTAGTTATAGGCTGTGTCTTTACGATATGACCATCTTAAAGGTCATGCTATTTCCTCGTTCATTGTGTGTGACACAGAATAAATGCTCAATAAAATCTGTTGCACTGAATGAGTTTAATCCTTCTCTTGGGGAGTGGTGGCTCTGGCTGCTATAGTAGGGATCTGTGAATGAGGAGCTGTCAGACCCTAATGAAAAGTCTTTGGAAGATGGCTTTCCAGGCATCATGGCAGGAGGTGGAAGGGGGAAGGATATTGGAGGTTCTCTGGTATTCCCTGCATTGTTTCATGTTGACACCTGCTCATAACAGCAGCGGCTCTTAGGTCCCTCTCTGTGACACGGTGGGCTGTGGAGCAGCAAATGTCCTATAGATGTGGCCTCAGAGTCTTCCCAGAAGCCCAGCTCCCTCTTACATTTCAATTGCAGATGACAGTGATTTTTCCAGATATGGCTGTGTTCTTGCTCAGGGCAAAAACCCTAACCTGCTTTGTTCACCCCAAGTGGCCTCAGTGGCAGACACCATATTCCAGAAGCTTGCACAGTGCCTGGAGTGTCACAGGTGCAGAGGAGAACTGAGTAGAACCTGTGAAGCAGGATTCTTGCTGGAGCTGTGGCCTAGGAGAGGGGTTAGGTCTTAGAACTGACTCCTAGGCAATTCACTTTTGCTCCACT